TTATTATTATTATTATTATTATTATTATTATTATTATTATTATTATTATTTATTATTATTATTATTTATGGCTGCTTTTCACCCTTACGACCGTTGTAGCATCCCCACAGTGCCATGAACAGAAATTCACTGTTTACTATTTACTAAAGTTACTCCACGAACTATTGTAATAAGGCGGGGTTCGTTTAGCGACCGTCGAGAGTGACATCGTTTGAAAAAAATAAAAGCGACTCAGGGCCGTATTTCCACACTTAACATCTGTCATGGCCTTCCCATGGCTCACGGGATCCGAATTCCAACACTTGGAAAAACGGACTCGTAGTTATGACGGCTCACCTTTTTTTCCGACCGTCTGGATGAGAGCACCCCCAATGGGCAAAGCCGGCTTCACTTAAAGACCGGCCAACTCACTTTGGAACAATTCACGCCGGGCGAGGAAGTTCGTAGGGCAGGACGAAACCCGCTGGACAACGGTCTCGCTTAGCGACATAACTTTGGGGCTCGGTGGTGGTTTTGAGTCGAGGACGAGCTGTATATGAATTGTGTCCCAGAATTTAGATTAAAAAGGGATCCCAAACAATACGGGACGGTTGTTTTGCTGGGCGACGGAGAGAGAACAGGTGCATCCCCTATTGTGAAGTGATGAAAAACAGCCACAAAACCACAACTCACAACGTGAAGGCAGTGGGACTCGAGTCATTCGGGGCGAGGGCCAGAGGGAGGGGTGTTTTGGCAGTAAGTCAGCTCAAAAATAAACCGAAAAGTCCATATATGATCTGCTTACAATATGTGCCAAGAGCCCCCTAACTCCTCCTCCGTCTGCTGGGAAGGGCCCCCTTGCAAAACTCCGTTAATCCACGTTTCCTTGAAATTTTTAAAAGGCTGCTTGGAATCGAGCTGCAAGGGCGAGATCCAGTTCTGAGAAGGCGTGTGCGCGACAGCGCTGGGAAATGCCGGGCAAAAGTAATTTTCTGAAACTGTACATGAAACAAAAGTCCGTATTGACGTTCAAAACTGACACCCTTAGTAAGGACTTTATTCAAAACATGCAGAGAGAGAGATAAAAAGAGAGAGATAAAGACAGAGAGATAAAGACAGAAAGATAGAGAGAGATAGAGAGAGAGAAAGAGATAAAGAGAGAGAGAGTGAGAGAGAGAGAGAGAGAGATGAGAGAGAGGGAGAGAGAAAGAGAAAGAGAGAGAAAGAGAAACAGACAGAGATAGAAAGAGACCTAGAGAGATAGAGACAGACAGAGAGAGAGAAAGAGAGAGAGAGCTAGAGAGACAGAGACAGAGACAAAAAGAGATGAGAGAGAGAAGGAGATAGAGAGATAGAGAAAGAGAGAGACAAAAACAGAGAGACAGAGAGATAAAGAGAGAGCTAGTGACAGAAAGAGAGAGAGAAAGAGACAGAGAGAAACAGAGAGAGATAAAGAGACAGAGACAAATAAAAAGAGATGAGAGAAAGAGAGAGGCAGAGACAGAGAGACTAAGAGAAAGACAGAGGGATAAAGAGACAGAGATAAAAAGATGTGAGAGACAAGAGACAGATAAAGATAGAAAGAAGAAAGAAAGAAAGAAGAAAGAAAGAAAGAAAGAAAGAAAGAAAGAAAGAAAGAAAGAAAGAAAGAAAGAAAGAAAGAAAGAGAAAGAAAGAAAGAAAGAAAGAAAGAAAGAAAGAAAGAAAGAAAGAAAGATAGGGACATAAATTAAAAGTTGCCAACCGTCCCAAGCCAGATAAAGGCTACTTGTGGGAGCACCGAGTTGCCAAAAGAATATAGTTAGTCCTCGGCTTATGACCATAATCGAGGCCAACATTTCTGTGGCTAAGCGGAACATTTGTCCAGTGAGTTTCGCCCGGTTTTACGTCTGTCCTTGCCACCGTGGTTAAGTGAATCCTTGCAGCTGTTAAAGCGAATCCGGCTTGCCCATGGACTTTGCTCCTCCAAAGGTTGCAAAAGGTGAATCATGCGACCCCCGGGGGAACACTGCACCCGTCGTAAGTACGAGTCAGTGGCCAAGCCTCAGAATTTTAATCGCCTGAGCATGGGGGGATGCGAGAAACATCATAACTGTGAAAAACAACCCCCCCTTTTTTTTCTCCCAGTGCTGTAACTTTGGTCACTAAATGAACTGTTGTCAATCAAGGATCTTTTGCTCGAGCTGGGGGCTGGACTAGACGACCTCCAAGGTCTCTTCCAAGATCTCTTCCGATTCTGACTACCTGGTTTAATTTGTGCGATCCATGTAACCTGGCCACAACCGTGTGTGTCTTTCTGGATAATGCAAGGCGTCCTCCTGGACAGGGAGTGGAGATATTTTGAAATGTAAAAGCAATTTAATTTTTATTTTATTTTTTTAAAAAGGGAATATTTGGGCCACCGATAGAGTAACGTCCCTCCCTGAAAAGCCCGTTTCCGTTTTTGGTGATGGGTAATTATTATTATTATTTTTTGCTTTTTTACCGACGCTTTTTGTGTGTGTGTTCATTTGATGGGATTGACGGCTGAATTAAAAGAGGGAGGAGTTCAGGTCGAAATAAGAGGAAGGAAGGAAGGAAAGAGCTTTAAAAGTCGGACATCCTGTTTGAGATATCAATCCAGCCAAGACATCAGTGAAAAGTTGGGAGAGAAAAGAAGAAGAAGAAGAAGGAGAGGGAAAAAGCATCCAAAGAGCTTGGCCCACCCCATCTCACTGCTGTCTACAGCCTTCCTTTTTGTTGCTGGATTTCGGGCAGCCCACCTTGTCTGGCTGTCGTTTGGTCGGGGAGACGAAGACAGGAGCTGCCACCCTCGGCGGGTAGTCAAAGGGGCTGTCCGTCTGGGCCAGGGGTCCTGGGCTGGGGGCTAGGAGGAGAGGAAAGGAAAGAAAGGAAAAGGAAAAGGAAAAAAGAAAAGAGAATGTCAGCACGGCACGAGGATCTCTTCTTCCATCTCTCTCTTGTCTCCCCAGCTCTCAAAAATTATTTTTCTTAAAGTTATTTTCCAGTGCAGTGTTAGGCATAATCTCCTCTGTTATACAGTCTCTTGCTTGAGCAGGGGGGTGGACTAGAAGACCTCCAAGGTCCCTTCCAATTGCTATTCCATTTCCATTTCCTGTTCTATTCTATTCTATATTCTATTATATTCTTCATTCCAATATCTATTCTATTCTATTTTTTATCCTATCCTATCCAATTCTATTCTGTATTCTATTATTCTATTCTCTATTTTATTATTCTATTCTATTATTCTATTCTTTATTTTATTATTCTATTCTATTATTCTATTCTCTATTTTATTATTCTATTCTATTCTCTATTTTATTATTCTATTCTATTATTCTA